AATTATAGCTGACATCATCTACTCTTCAGTGTCCTAGAAGATCTTTAGCTCTAGTCCACTGTTAGATCTTTTATGCATTACATGAAAAAAAATACCTCAAGATTTTGAAAATATTTATTTTAAAAACAGCAATGAAATTGTCTGCAATCACATTTTCTGCTCTGCTTTGAAAGCAGCATTATTCAATATGCCAGTGGTCTTTTCCTTAASAGCAACATATTAGAAATTCATGCTGCTCTAATACATCTGAATTCATTGAGGTACTGCACTCCCTATAGACCTAACGAGACATTTTCGCTTCAGTTTCATATGTCCTGCACATTACCTACTGATGTGCTGGTTGTCAAAACAGTTGTACAGTAGCCTTTGAATTCAAAGTGTGCCTTGACTCTATACTAAAAATGACAATAAACCAAAGTATATACATTATGCTGCCTTTTGTTGCAAGCACAAATAGAGCATTTGGGAAATAAATCCCCTGATTTTATTGCCTTTTAACTTCTTTTCCACTTTAAACTTCAAAACTAGAAATTTGAGGCATTCAGAGAAATTGAAATCTCTTTATTTCTTTCTTGTATTTTTTTTCCATAATATACCTTCATTTTCAAAAATAGATCAGCACAAGGACTATAAATGAAAGCATTCCAAAACTAGTTTTCTTTATTTTTTTTTCCCTATAAAAACAGCACTTTGATTTTTATCCCTGGTTTCTTGGGGAAAAAGACAATCATCTGTAGGACATACTACCAAAGCTGGAATGCCTATAATTTTGTTGATGAAATGAACACACAGTCAAACTCATTGTATATTTCAGAATATTTCAGAATATTTAAGGTTGGAAGGGACCTCTACAGATCATCTAGTCCAACCTTCCTGCTCAAGCAGGCACACCTAGAGCATGTGGCACAGGGTGGCATCCAGGCGGGTTTTGAAGACCTCAATACGACACATCCAAGAACATTTGTGCAGATAAATGCACATTCTTACAYGGACCATATAGATGATATTTATGTGCACATGTAGAAGGAGTATTTCTGGCAGTCCTTGTAACAGCTCTGGAAAATCCATGCAAGGAGAGAAGAGCAGGCAGGTCAAGACACAACTGAAACCGAACGAAGGATCTACCTTCCTCTGTAATATGTGAGGAAAAGACACTTTTTCATCATATAGAAACAAATACGTCTGCAGAGCTATCAGCACAGCTTTATCATGCAGCTATATCTATAGCTACCCTGTTTAAGCAAAAGGAATGGAAGTTATGGCCAGTTTGAAAGAGGACTTAAGAGCGTTCGCACACGTGAAGCATCACASCAGGGCTGGACCATATTGTCACACTCAGATTCTGCATGAATTCTGGAGGCTTCTGAACTCCCAATATCTGCTATAATACTATTATATATTATCTAGATAATATATATATATTATCTACAGATAATAAACATGTAAAGGAATCTCCAATGTGTGTGTGACACCTAATGGGAAGACAAGAATACATGAAAGCAAAAGTCAATATAAGAACTGCCAGAATATTGAGAAAAAGAAACTTTCAGTGTTTTTTTTCTATTTTCTTTTAATACTGAGGGTACAATGAGAACTTCAATCAATCCAAAAAACTTCAAAGGAGGCTAATTCCAAATTTAAGTGTCAGATAGAGTAAATACTATTGGGAAATTTTCATCTCTCAGCATTCTGAAACTTTTCAGAGAGAGAATTCTCACAATGTGACAGAAAACCTGCAAGAAGCAGACTCCTAATAAGAATCCACTAAGCTAGTGGTGGGGTTTTACTGTGTGTGTTTAAGCACTTCTACAGAGGAAAATTCTTTCAGAGCTTGGGGCAAATCCTGCAATCCTTACTCAGAGGGATTTCATCCGAAGCYTGTAGAGAGCACTGCACAGCATGACACCAGGAGTTCTGATGGGAGGAGTTTGMAAAAGTACTTCTAAGAGGGGTAAATCCTTAATCTTCACTCTGTCCAAAATCATGGAAATCCTCGTATGAAAAAACTTGGCAGTTGAGATGAAAAAGCAGTGCTGCAGTTGGTGTGCAAACTATTCTCCTACTTTTATTTGAGCTTATTGTGCCTTTCTGCCATTTGGCTCGCATTAATTAATGCAYTGTCTGTTAAAGAAGCAACTGAACCCCACTAGGCGATTCTAACAAAAAAGRCAGGTCTAATACCAGCAAACTGTTTGAGAGGAAACATGCTGAAAGTAAAAATAAATAGAGCAAATTCAATCAGATTGCACTGAAGAGTTCACCCCAAAGAAGTAGAATTTGCTCAAGATGTGAAATTAATTACGGATAGAGAAGAGCCAACAGATTCATTTCTAAGAATAATTTTTCTAAAAATATTCATTAGTGCCCTGAAAAATGAAGACACATGGTTTCCAAATATGTTAAGTGATAGTTGATATACCAGAAATCAAACGGAACTAAGGGTTGAGATAAATTGGAGAAACTTAAACATTATTTTCCATGCAAGAGAGTATAAAAGCGATTTAAGCAAATACTTGTCAAGCAGATCAGAGTTTGGTGAGACAGTAAAAACGAAACGGAGAGATGAGTAATAGCAAGAGAATAGAGTCATACTGAAGAAATAAAAATGTGCAAATGCTCTGGACTATAAAGAACAGAGAGCTTGCTTCAAAGATAAATAAAGAATGCTAACTCTGCAAAAACCTATGTCTTTTTTCATCAATGGAAGGCCAAAAGGACAATTGAATCACTCTGTTCACTGAAGAAGTCACTGGATTCACTGAAGAATGAACTGATATTTTCTCTCTCAGTTCCTCAGCAAATTCCAATCAGAGCCGCTACACTGCAAAGTAATATTCGAGCTGTGCAAAATCATGGTGTTAACATCTTACTAGCTGYGCTAACTCGAGAGGTAGCTTTATCCCCTTGACAGACAAACCTGAAAGTATAGTTAGTTAAAAGGCTGTCYTGTGTCTAAAGGGCATGCAAGTTAGGGATAACAGTTGACTTAGGCCATGATGCTTCAAGGATCATGCTTTATTGAATACGTCCCGAGGAATGACTGTTTAAATTAAGTGCTTCTTTACTCCCTCCTATGCATATTTCCTCAAGTTCCGACTTTGATTTTTTCTGATCTACACGAAGTCCCAATAGCAAAACTGCCTAGTTATATCATTAAGCTTTGTCTGTATTTGCCCTTGATCCAGTAAGTCACTGTGATGATCTACTAACTCTCAAGGACTTTTGTTCAGAGATCTTTGTGAGAGGCTAATGTGGAATTTCAGAGCTTAACAGAATACATAGTTTCTGAATCATAATCATGACTCAAAAGAGCTCAACTCAATGAAATACTATTTGTCTTTACTGGAGTGTCACGGGTTTCTTTTACTTCTTCAGGGTCTTTCATAGTTCTGATTTGTAGAACCCTACACAAGATTTAGCATATGTTATTTTCTGTAAGACATCAGTTTTGCAGAAATGCAAGCAAAATTCAGACACTGCCATTAACATATATTTGTACTTGTATTATATTTGTACTTGTATTTGTATGAAAAACTGCCTCTTCCCCCGCTCCTCCCATTACCAAACATAACCCTGGAGTCAGATCCTGACCTCAACCACAACATACGCAACATCGTAGTAAATCAATGACAACTAAGCAGCACATAAGATGCCAAGATTAACCCGCCTGCAGTAGAGCTTGTTGGACATCCTCAGAGGGAATGCAGAGCTCCTTGAAACCATGGCAGTTTGATTTTAATTAAGTTACAATGTAGCCCTGTGACAAGGCAGATTTTTGTTGCAAACTAACTGTTTTTCTGCCAGCTCACATCATTTCCTTGGCTACTAAGGCTTCCAAGCCCCTGGCTTTAGGGCAGTTAGCTTGATGGGTCAACAGGGAGCTAAGCCTAGCTTAGCTCCCCAGTCAGTCCTCAAACCTCCATATTCTGCCCCAGATACCCTTGCCCAGTCCCAGATCTGATTTAATCTTAGGCAATGTGATGGAGAGGTAGGAAACTGGAAGCCTAAACAAACTCAATTCCCAAACACAAAGCCTTCCAGCTGGAATATAGTTCCTTAAGTGTCTAATTCTAGTGATGACAAGCCAAGACCCTTGGATCTCTGGAGTGGCAGATCCTTAATTTTTGCTTTCTGGAYCTGTAGCTCTTGGGTGGCCCATCTAGCAGGGTGAAGAGAAGTGCTCCTTGCCCATTTCCAAGCTGACAATGGATTGTGCAGCCTCATCCTCTGCAATGGGRTTTTTCACTCTTAGGTCTAGAATTCTACAGCGAAGCAAAATAACAACCTCTTCTGTAAAATGGTCTTGTCTGTAGCTGGTATGCAAAGAGTATACTAATTACTTGTAGAACCCACTTGAAAATTTAACATTCAAAGGAGCTCTGCAGTTATTGCAAGCAATTTAACATCCAAAGAAATGATTTATAATATCAGGCTTCCCAAGATTACAACCATAATGACTATCTGACAGACTTTATAAGCAAATCGTCCAGTCATTTCAATTGGATTGTGGCTGGCTAAGGACTGGGAACTGTAAAAAGGCTCTAAGATTTGGCCTAGAATCAGAAATAACATTTGCTGTTTTCCAAACGTGCAGTAAACATGAAAGGAGATATTAAATTTTTGTACATCTCTCAGTAGATGCAAATTAGAATGGAAAGAGCCTCATAAGAAAAACACAGAACAACAACCATCTGGATCCCATTCCTGCTCTAGCAGAAGTCAAAGTCCTGGGCCTCCTTTTGTCGTTATTTACAGCCATCTACAAGAGAAGTAGTTCTACTCCAGTCAGTGGACAAAAGTCCTTGGCTTTCAGCATTTCAACATAAAACTCACACTGCCTCTAGTGGGAGGTGTATTTCACCACTCTGAAGCTCGTCCAGAACAGGCTGCAAGTCTCCAGTGTATCAGGAGCTGGCTCCCTCTGAGCCTTACAAACAAGTTTGTCCCTCTGCATTTTCTCATATTAAAGAAGTAGAAAAAGAAAGATTGAAAATGCTTACCACAGAGAGTGAATTTGAAAGCAGTGTGCCATCTTGGCCCAGCATATTGGAAACTGTAATTTCAGGTAGATCCATGTTTTGTGGGTGGAAGGGAAGGAGGCCGTTGTGGTTCATTGGATGACACAGCGAGTGGTATCCAGACTCGATCTCATTCAAGTGCACCAGTGAGTGGTCAGGTAATGATGGAGGTGTTATAGGAGGTATGTTAAAATCTTCACTTTCAAGACTTGGGCCAGGAAACGACTGAAAGAAAAATACAAAAATTGCTACAAATCACATAAAAAATGAACAACAATAAAAACAGTCACAGAAAACAAACGAAGAAACAAAGCCAGCTCACTCACTTCCAAGCTGTAGCTTCAATCTAGCAAAGAGAATATTTTAAGCACCTATGTATTATAATAGTGCAGTTTCACCATTATATATGGAATTAGAAAAATGCCTCTAAGGCATAAGAATCTCTGGTACTTTCACAGCTTCCATTAGAGAGAGATTTTTTAAAGAAGYAAAATTCAAACAGATTTCAAGAGTCCTATTAAATTTTTCCAAGAGCGTTCATCTAGCTGAATACCTTTTTCATGGGAATTGTGAAAAAGGGAATACAATTTATAAAATTAACATTGGCTCAAAATGTTTCATAAGGCTCCCTGCTACTCARATCAAGAATTATGTAGTGAAGAAGAAAGATATTGCTTTTTGGCTGGCAGGTGAACTGTGCATTTGCTCTGCTGCAAAGGAAAACATATAAATACAGAAATACTACATCTTTTGTATGAATATACTTTATGTTTTAAAAAATATGATTAGAATATATCAAAAATATGTTCCTTCCTTTCTCCATCTATAAACTCTGCAATACATATATTCATCTAAATGACTTATTCTGCAAAGCAACTGTTTAGTCTTTTGTTGTCCATTGCTGTTAAGCCATTCAACTCAATCCGATCCAAGGAAAAGCCACAGGCAAAGTCAGAGTAATGCACCAAGGTGGATAATTGGCATTATTTATCTACAGTCTTCCTACAGYAGATGGGCTTATTTGGGGGATAAGTGTGAGTACGGTTATATTTCTTAAAGGAATAAGGTGAGGAGCATAAGACAGACGATCCAAATCAAGAGTCAAGAGGGATCAGTTACTGCAGTTCAGTCAGCCTGGAAGGTGTCTCTGCTTCTGGGAGAGGAGCTACAGCTCTCAGCTCCCCTGCAAATGATGGGTCTTTGTACAACCAGTGGGTGCCAAGTCTATGACACAGAACAAGAAGCTCCATCCTGCTCCTTCCTGCCCCTCTTCTGAAAGGCAGACCTGACATTCCTGTTTATTCAGCGAGTGCAAGGATGGAAATATATGCTGTTCCCGCAAAGCACCTTTAGGAAGTCTGAGCGAGAGGATATCAATTTAAAGAGGGATATGTTTTGCCCAGCATGAGCTTGCAAACAGAAGGCAGTATGGTGCATGAATTCATGCAGAAGGGCGAGGGAAGAATCAATGTCCAATTATAAACCAAGGGAGTTTTCATTATTCATCACAGTAATACTGTCCTCCCCAATGCCTGAGGTTACTCTCTGTGAGGGTATGGAAAGAAAAACTTTAAATCACCCCGACAACAACCAGTGTTACATGTTTGCAGGGAGTTGCTGAACACAGAAGTCACTGTTCCAGCGCACATTGCCCTRGCTTTGACTGCTTTGCTTCCTTCCCGACAAGCCCGAGGTTTATTTACCCCTCCGTTAGGGACTAGCTTAGCATGAAAGAGGGCTGGAGGGCTAGAAAAGAGCAAAGACAAGAGCCAAATCCCATATTCTGCCTCTACATTTCTCACATGGGACAGCAATTTGGTCTTCTCCTGCCTTTGCCTTTTGCCTCATGAGAAGGTTTGTAAGGCCTATTTGCCCCTGCTTTTACACTCTGTGTTGCAGTGGAGATATCACCCAGGGAGGAAATACATAGAGGAAACATATACCCATACTAAGGGGAGAGGAGACACACTCATGTTCAAAGAAATTGTAATGTTTATTATGTCACCATGTATAAGCTGTGTAAGATCAAATAAAATATTATGGGCAAAATTACAGTTGGCTAGATGCTAAAAAGAAAGGTCTGTAAAGTCAGAGCTTACAGGCTTGCTTAACAAAATATTAAGGAATAACAGAAATTAAGAAAATGGCAACACTCATAAGGCTATTCTGGACCAGCATTATCTCACATGCCTTATATATAGATTTGGTCTCCGTAATGCTTGTGGGCTTAGCTCCCTATAGCTTACATCTATCAGGAAAGATTGATGGGCTGGGAAAGGAGGACATTTAATGTTCAACTTTGTTTCTTCCACGATTCCAAAAGATTCATGGCCTCAGAAGAGTTTTCTCTTTGATTTTGTAGGTACAAAGAAGTGTTAATCCAACATTTGATTTTTATCTCTAAGTGTCCTACAGTGAAAATACCTTGTGCTAATCTTTGATCAATCAAAATGGTCCTGTTCAAACCTTCTAGAGGAGGAAGAATTTCTGAAAAATCTGGCCTCCTAYTGTCCTGAAGTAAGAGTAGCACAAGGATCTGGATTAAAGAAGTGGGGACTTCAACTTGGAGTTGCTGCTAAAAGCAAATATTCTTAAACCAAATACTGACAGAGTGGCTGTGAGCACACCACGAATATTGAGGGTTTCCAGCTAATTTGCTATCTTATTTGTGCACCCCTCTTGCATGTCATACATTGAGAGTCTAGCTTTTGTTTTAGTTAGACTGATTTGGTTGGACCAGTTGGACTGGTTTCAAATGTGTCTTTAATTAGTAACATTTCAAAAAATTCTAGAAGCAATTGAAATGCCACTAGGGCAGTAACTTCACTTTTTAAAATAGAAATAAAAAAATAGTGTCATAAAACTCCACAACCCAAATCTGCAGTTGCATCATGTACAGCTATATAATAATTACACTAGATGTCATATATGTAGGCTAATAATTTTAAATAAAAGGTTACTCTCTCATTATTTAAAAGAAAWCCACATCATGGTTACTGCTTGCAAAACTTCGCGCGTTTTGCAAATCCCCCATCACCTAACACATAATTGTCAATTACACTTAAATAAGCTGCTTGGAATAGTGAAACTGTAGCAAAGGCAATAAAATGTCAAAACAACATGTAATTTATGTGGAATTAATCACTGACTATAGTAAATACAATCCTGCTGTTCTGGTAGTGGCTGAACAACATAGTTACACAGCGCCAGCACTTCCTATATATACTTTTTKGGGGGGTGTGTCTTTTAAAGAAAAAGGCAAGTAAACTATTTGAGTATTTCCCCAAAGTCAGCATGCAGCCTGCATGCTAATGGCAGGCAGCTAATGGAAAACACCTGAGCAGGACCCTGTTCACCTACCATTCATTTTCCAGCCAGGTTAATCCTGCCATATTCRGTGTGTGTGCAGGAGGTTCCTAAACCAAGCTGTTCCATTAGCAACTTGATGGTACTCCAGTTTGGCCTCTACACACACCTGTAAGACCACTGCACACCAGTGCAAGACCAGGTCCAAGATTTCAATGAAGCATAAGGTCCCACTCCCAGGCCAGTCATGACTCTGTCCCTATCCCGAGTTTTCCTAGATCATCTCTTCTTCCAATCTACTTCCATTTACCTGGAATTGCTAATGAAAGCACTAATCTCCCACCAAAAGCATTAGGGATGGCTACAAGGCCTGTATCCAATTACAGTTAATAAGTACAGCTCATATGTATTAATAATACATGTGGCCCATGGTTTCAGCTTTTCTAGGTTTTTCTTGGGGTGTGGATAACAGGGTTTTTACCCTCCCTGAGGTTTTTCTTTCCTAGTAGGCTTTTGTATCAGCACAATTTCACTCTGCAAAGAAAGACAAGACAAGAAATCGGTACTTTTCATTCTACTGGGCACAGAAATGCCAGCAAGCTTCTCCTTTCATTTTTGAGTCAAAAAGGGTAGCAGCAAAAGCTCTATTTRTCTTATGAAGCTGCCAGGAACTTTGCAAGTGGTTTTGCCTTCACTTTATGACTGTGGGAGTGGATGAGGGAATGAGGTGTTTAGCAGCTCTTCCTTCTACAGGACCTTCCTAGGTCTCTGTTACATTCCAGTCCTTTACAAAGTAACACCATTGAACCTACCAGAAGGCACTGAACAGACACAGGCTTTAATTTTACTTTATTATAAAGAGGATTTTAATTACATCTGGATTTATTATAAGTAGATCTGAATACGCTTCATATGGGAGTAACATAATAGCAACCTCAGAACTGAGCAACCTGGAATTTGGGCCACTCACAGACTTGAACCTATGAATAGCTTTTTCACTCAAGGATGGTCCCCCAAATCTAAAGGATAATAATCTGTGTTTCTAGTTAGATTCTGTGACATTTCTGCCCCAAGTGTGGGAGCAGCTTTCATAAAGCAGATGATATTTGAGATATCTATCATGAGATCAAGAGACCTTATGCCACCTTAGTCTATAATTTTATGAGAAAAGCTTTCCAGAATAAAACAATACTAACATGCAGCCCTGGTTCACAGTCCAATCCAAATCTAAGATTTTATTTTGTACCTGAACAATGAACTTATTGGTCCCCTCTAACTTACCTTTTRTGCCACTTAGTCTGGCCAAATCCAGCAACAGGAGAGAGTGAGATGGTGGGAAGGGGTTTATATGTCAAAGTGCAGTCCTTTAATTAAGTATCACATAACTCAACTAAGCGTCCTGCTATGAGTATCAGTAATAACACCAAAATAATCCTGTATTCYTATTCCGTGGAACCCAGATACATTGTTTTCTGAATAATGTGGGAAATGCTTGCACAACCTGACTGCGTAAGAACTGAAGAAAATACATTAGGGAGAAAGAAGGAAAAAAATTAAAGCCTTTCTTTGTAAATAATGTACAAGGATGAAAGTATATTGGCCAGCCAATCTTATTTACGTTTCTAAAAGAAATAATAGAAAAGGAAGACTTTAAAAACTAAGCAGAAAAGGGACCCAAAGAAAGTGCTTCAAACAGACTGACCACAAGAGGCAGCAAGCCTGCAAATATCCCGTAGAAATCTCTCTGGAAAGAGCAGAACCAGTACTGTATGATAGTATAAAAGATAAGTCTAATTCATTAAGAAACTCTAATTCACGTGCTCAGGGTTTGCAGCAGTCACTGTTCATACACTCAACAGAACCTGGTATTAGCAATGATTCCTTAAAAATTTGGAATTTGCCTATAGATATTTAATTTA